AGCTATTACTTAAGTGTCTACGCTTTTCAGTCAAATTAGCACAAACGCATTTTAAAAGGACGTGGTCTCAGCTCGTCTAAGTTTTTGTCGGGAATCGAACCCGTCCCTCTCGCACCGAAGTCCGACATGCTAGGTTAGCATCACGTTCACTGTTAATATTTTAAAACTGAAACAAGCCAATACCGCCACCAATGCCGCTACGTTTTTTAAACACACACAGTCATGTTTACAAGCCCGAAACAAGACTGCCATGGTGAAATATTCAAATAACACTAAAAATAGTGGTGAAGTATTTTAAAACAGGTATTCTTTCCACTAGAATTCAGAAATAGTTATGAATTGGTTGTTTTTCCCCTTGAAAAGTACCTATGAGATAATCGAACTAATCTTTAATTAATTGTCAATGTCCATATTCAATCTGACGTCAGGGCATACGTAAAAGGTGAAGTAGACTCGATGGTTAGTTAATCGCTAAGTAGCAATCATCAGTTGGGGATTAGGGGTGGGGCCCTAACTTAAGGGTGGCCTGGGGTGGCGATCCCCTGGTGGGGTATTTCCCTTTAATTAAAAAAATACCACTTCTACTTGTATTAATCCTCAACAAATGCATTTTTAATTCACCTCCTACAATTTTGTTTAGCATCCTTTTCAATTTATTTTTAGAGAATTTGTCATTTGATGCCAATAATATTGTCATACTCCTCAAACATATCGGTGATTTCATGATAACCGCAATATTGTCATATTTATATAGCGCCTAAAAATAATAGCCCTTAATGTGGGGCCTGGTTGTAATAAAACTGCTGGGAAGCCAGACAGTTCTGTTTAGACACGCCAGCTGCAGTAGGGTCTACCTACTTTATCACGACGGTCCCCGCTGGCTTGCTAAATTTGACTTGCACCGTTATACTGGCCAACGCCTTAGTGACCGTTATACACAGACATGGATGTCTTTGATTGACAGGTGATTGGGCCTTTCCCATGAAAATGTCCGCCTACAAATATGTAAAAGTAAGTCATGTCTGAGCGCACTCTTCGGCTTACATTGTTACATAGGTTTTTTTTCCTAGGACGCTAGGCACGAGTCTGGGATTGTTTTTCACATTACTTCAGGCTAGACCTAGGGGTTCCGGTATTATCACTTAGATAAAATCCATTGGTGACTTGGTGGGAATCGAACCCGGGACCTGTGTGTGTTTTACACCGTCTGCAATTAAACCCTTTTTATAAGGAAACGGCCCAAACCCTTGTCTTGTTGCTCTTTAACCAGGTATCGTCAACCTTTTTTTAGAGAGCCTTATTAATTGATAAGCCGTTAGTCAAATGTCATCTGGGTCAATAATTGACCCCGCTTTGGACTGAACAAGCAACTTTCTGATTCAAAAGCGGGCACTGAATAAGCACACCTAACCACTCGGTTGTATAAATTATACGTTTTATATACCCGAATGATTTCATTATTAAATTTTACGGAGAGGCCCACGAACGTGCTATATAGAATTACGAGGTCGAGAATAATAAAATAAACTATACATATAACCTCACTCCATTTTTAATTCGTGCTCAGCTTAAAACCGCACCTAGGGTGGTCGTCGCTGTTCCAGAGTAATGTATTGGTAATTCAGAGAATTAATGATAAAATGTCACTTCCCACCTCGAGTTCTAGTTTACTATATACAAAACTAAATAGTATTTTTTTTATCGGGACCATTTTCTTCGGCAAAACCATGTGGATAAAATGTAGACCTTGCCAAAGGCAGAAAATGAACAGCTGACGTTCTCGACTACCAGTACAGCTGATTCATTCTTGTCTTGGAAATAAAAATAAATGCAACAGTACTGGCACTGCCATCCCTCAACCATTGAGCTAGAGCACAGAAAACATACTAAGTACTGTAGTATGTTTTCTGTCGCTAGAGGCACAACTAGCCTATTGGAGGTAGGTAGAACTGGCACGGCAACTCTGCTATAAAATCGAGACGCTGTAATCTCTGTATCTTGGTACCAACTAGGGGAATCAGCCTATTGTAAAGGCTCTCATTCAGTGCTACCGTAGTACCTCAAATTGTATCTCTAGCTCAGTATCCTCTATTGTCCTGCTATTGACCTGTCAGTGTCCTGCAATTAACAACGCATATGTTGATAATAGCAGTTTTCAATGCAGATAACGAAAATACATGTTATCACAGAAAGCGAGAGTTATTCGTTATTAATGTGACCTATATGCGACAGCGAGAAAGGTTGCTACCCCGATGTAGACTTGTTGTATGACTATTCACTATTCAGATGAGATCAGATTATAATTATTTCAATGTAAATAATTCTATAATAACAGAAGTTGAATGATGGCACAACTATACAACTTAAATTAGAACGTAAGTTGTTTATTTTATAAATAAAAACGCTTAAATTAATAATAATATTTTGTTAGCTATATTCATTTAAATTAAATTATTATCACTGACACTTAGTTATGAGAGTCATACATTTTAAATACATAATGCTAAATAATTCCGGTATACAGCATCCATAGTGAATTCATCTTGTAATATACAACCATAACTCCAACAGATAATGAAATGAAAATGTGAGTACAGTCACGTCATATCCAAGGTTAATTCTAATCGTGATATATATTAATAAATTAAATATTGTTGTACTATGCTTAATTTCTCTAATGACAGTCCTATATTAGCGGTATTGGTATTGATTATTACACAACAGTCTTATTATTTTGTTAAGTCTTGCGTTGACCTCTTATGTACCCTATGAGTGATTTGCTGTGGCGTTGAATACATCATAAAAACAAAATCATACGTTTGAAATATGCGGAAACTCAAATTCCAGTTCTTTACAGTTTGTATGATATTGATAATGTTTCATACATGTTTTATTCTTGGATATACTTGACTCTAACAATGTTTGGGGAAAATCAGTCTACTAAATATATTTTCAGGTCACAAAGATTGAGTGTTTAAGAAGGCGTGTATTTTGAAATTTGTTTTTACCGTAAAATATTGTATGAGCTTGTGAATTTTACTATGAAATGTCATCACCCACTCAAATGTTTGAAGATTGATAACATTACGTTGGAGGCTGTAAAAATGTGTATGTTCTTCAACTGTCGTTCACCATTCACCCTATTGTGTTTTAGCTGTCTGTAGAAATGCAAAATTCTTTTAAATTTTTATATAGTAGACGTTCGGTTACAAATGTTGGCCAAGAATCGCAGTTTCCTGCCGGTTTTCACAATTAACTTTGGTATGTGTTTTTCCCCGTTTAAGGTCTAAGTTTATAGCGTCTGTGAAGTTATTTTTCGTGACGAAAACGTGTACGGTAATGATTGTTACATATTGTTAAATCTATAAGCCAATATTTATTATATTTGTTCATGCAAACACGCGAACGAATATGTACTAACACGCGATCATTTGCTAAGTCATCGATGCGACCTTGCGACCTATTTACTATGTCTATATCATATTTAGCAGCCAAAAAAAGTATTGAACAATAAAAAAATATTAATAAATATACGCCCGCTTGAGTCTTAAAAATTAACAGCACTGAGGATGGTTAACAAATAACGTAGTATTTAACATGGGGGAAATCATTTGATAGTTTTCATATATTCTTTTGTAATTTCTGACATGGTACTTTTAGTACTCATAATGATAGAAGGAGTATTTTTTTGTAGTTTTGTTAGTGCCTAAGTCCGACATATTCCTTAGACACAGCTGTTAATTAATAGCTCATACAGATAGTGGCAACTCAGGGACCTACCTACAGTTTATAGTGGAATCCAAACCACATTTTTGCCTTGGTATTAACGAATTGGTCTAATTATCAGGATAGCACTGCGGATAGTGGTAGTACTCACTGTTGACGTTACCAGGGAGTATCGCATCCTCAGTGCATGCCTATAAATATCCACAATTCGTGACCTAGTAGCTGGATTAAACATTGTATTTTTCCTACAGTTTCTATAAAGCATATAAATAAGTAGTCTTTCAAACATTATTTTAGTCCCACAACACGTTTTTAGGTTAGGTTAAATCCGAGAGTTGAACCTCAGAGTTTTTATTACTCTGAGGTTGAACGATATGGGCAACTGATCGCAGTCGTAATATCTTGTTGTTGCCCACTTATTTTCAAGCGTTCACGTATTGCTTGCCTAATAAAAGCACACTGTTTTGTGTTATTTGGTTGGAATATTGGTGTGTGGCAAAAAAATGTGCGCGGTAAAAGTAAGTAAATGCATCAATTAGCTACTTGGCGTACTAAAATCTTTGTTTATAATTTACGGCCGTTCCCATCAAGCTACAGTCTTCATACTATCTTCTACAACACATACATGTAACATAAATATACTGGTTTACGATCCCCATCAAATGTTGCTGTGAATGTCAAAATTTTGCAAACTTGTGTTCATGTTTTTTGGTAAAATGAAGCTAAATTAAAAAAGTAAACGCAGTATCCTTCCGAATTCTTTTACAAGTAAAGTTTGGGGGTGTAATTTAATTTGGAGGGCGAGTTTGTAATTTAATCTTGAAAATGTCCTGTTAACAACATTATTAATATACCCTCAAATGTCTTTTTTTAATTATGGATTTATTTTATCTATTTTACCACCCTTCTTCTATTTTGTAAAATGGAGGGTTAATAATTTTAAAATAAATTGTTTCTTTATTTTTTCATACAAATAAATGCGTTAGTAAATGAATCCAGCGCTGTGCCATATTACTGGGCAGTGTAAAATAGCATGTTTCAGTAACAAATAGGAATGCTCTTGGACAAATAATACGATAATTGAACACGCAACATGGAAATTAAACGGATAGAAATGAAATTATGTTCAAAATATATTTAGTAAAATAAATTTAGGAATATAGTGTATAATGTTTATCATAGAGTTGCTAGGTGTATTTTTTGTTGTACAGAAATTTTGGTATAGTTCTATAATTATTAAGTACTATTGTATAATTATTTTTATTTGGTTTTAGATGACGTGCAAATGTTGCAAGGCATAAATCATCGTTGAAATTTCATTCTTGTAAGTAACATTCAACACCATTTTAGTAATTTTAATACTGTATGGCATGTCTGTCCGTTGGTCTGTCCCTACATGGGATGACTTGTGACAACGAATTTGCATGTTTCGATGTACAGTACACTGATGACAATAGTCATCAGTATGATTTCATTTAGGACTTACGGCTATGTGGTTAATGTCTGCAAAATAATTTTATGATATTTATATATATACATAATGTGATTTTTGTGTAGAAATCATCAGTTATATTGTGATTGGATATTTTTGTTTTGGTATCGTTATTTTATCTTGAATTTTACGTATCCAGTTTTAATAATTTTAAGTATTCATAATAATTCTGTTTTATCTTATTTTACTTAATTTTAATTCTTACTTCTAATGGTCCTTTTTTTGTCTTTACATTTTTATCTTTTGTTACTGTCTGATTTTTATTGCCTTACTTTAAGTTTGAGTATGTTATTTTATGAAATAAAGCCATTCTGACTGTTATGTTTTTATTTGTTATGCCTATTGCTTTTTATATTTATCATTGATCATGTATTTTAAATAACTAGTTATACAGCGTATGAACTTTTCAGAAGACAAACAATGCTTTCGCGTTTAAGCTTTTTATGGTAGATTGTTTCTTTAATTTTTCATATACGTCATAATGATTTTGACCGTGTTGTGTTTGTAGGCAATGCATTTCGTTATTGACAGTATGTTACGTAATATTATACATTTTAAAGATGTGCTCTGAAAATTGTCATAATAATCATAATAAATGTTTTCATAATAAATGTTTGGCCCCTTTTCCTTCTAAAGCTAAACAAAAACGCTTTTGTGATAGCGTTATAACTTTTGTTATACATGATAGAAATTTAACTCGTAGCAATGCAAACGGGGTTTTCTGACCTTAAAACATATTACACACACATTATAGCCTAACGACTAGTATACTGGACAGTAAGTAAGTAAAAAACAAAAGGAATACGTTTTATGGGAAAAAATAAAACAAAAATTAAGAATAACATTTTTCTTCGTAAGCGAGACCTCCGCCATTTTGTTCTTTGTGTTATAAATTTATGTCTGAAAAACTTTTTAAGCTATCTTTGAAATTTTGTAGCCTACATATACCATTTTATCAACTCAAAAAATATTCCATAAGAAAAATCATTTAAAACATTTTTGTGTGTTTAAAGTTGTGGTTATTTTTGGTTGTGTTCATAAAATGGTGCTCATTTTAATTTTTTAACGAAATTATTTTTTTATAGCATAGGTATTTTATGAAAAAGTCTAAAAACTGAAAATAATTTTTTTTAAATTCCCTATCAAACGATACTTAGATAAAAAACGTTAAATAATAAATAACGAGAAATTACGATTTTTAGTTTTTCATACCGGGAAGGCCTATAAGGCCAAGCAGTCAGTGGGGGTTCGCCTCATTTTGCGCATAAACATTGTTACATCTATGTATTATTTATTTAATCCTTTTGGACAATGTGTCGTTTGGTTGAGAATTTCAAATGCTAAATACAAGCGAACTTTGGGTAGGCAAACGGTTATAAGTTAAAATAAAACCAAACATATTTTAGTAATTTAAGTTATAACAATTAAAATTGTCACCATTTTGAAACAAAAAAACTTGTTCATTAGCTATTTTTCTGAAATATAGATTATGACTAGATAGAATTGTATACTGAATGTTATAAGTATATCCTAAACAGTTTGCGAGATATAAATTAAACACATTAAAGAAAAAACATTCTGATATCTTGCTAAGTATTTTTTTATGTTTTTCTTAATTTTCGTATTATTTTGTCCCGTTAAACCTATTCCTATTTTTGTTTGTAATTGCGGGATACCCCTTACATCTGTTACAGAACATAAACTTTTATTTGTAAATATTAGTATAGTATACCGGTATAATAAATTTATTGGTTCTCTATTTGGTCAACCATTGCATGAATGGTATACCCTTTGCAAAATAAACAATCAAGAATAGTCAAGTAGGTACGCTCGTTCTTTTTCCGTTTTGTTTTCACTATTGCTACGTTGTTTTTCCATAAAACGTTAGTAATGTTATATAATGACCATATATACCAGTTGTACACCAGTATAAACCCGTCAGATGCGAATGTAATCCTTTATATCATACAAAATAATAGTGCTGATTGATTTATGCCACTTTATAATCACACTTTAGAGAAAAAGAGCTAGAATAAGTGGTCTTTCTTAACTTAATTTATTATTCAAAGTACGGTGTGGACTATAACCTATAACTAAGTAAAATGTTAAGCCTGTTATTGTTTCCGAGCATATACACAGCTTGATTTTTACAAACAGTATTAGTACCGACAAGTACCTTACTGCGATGAATATATTTTTATACAATTTAATCGTGTTTCTAATCATGGAAACAGAAAGATATTGGTATTCTGACCTGGGACTGGGGTTTATTTTACACCAATCCACGTTATTTGAAAACTTAGTCAAAGTGAAAGCAACGTAACTTGGAAAGGAATGTTGTATTTTTCACTGCTGTGAGCTTGGCGTGTGGCGAGGTCTGACGATATCGGTCGGTGGTTGCCATGACAACGGGCAGACGGAAAACTGGCAACGTCGCGTTATTTCACAGCTCATAGGGTGTTGCGGGCTACAATAGTCTACCTTTAGATCCTTTCTGTATTATCACCGTTTATAACACCGAACACATTACATTGTTTCTTGGAACTATACATTGTGCTACTCGAATGAAGGGTGATGTATTATTTTACAACATTTTACTGTACTTAGTAATTTCTCTTATAATAAAAAAGAAGCTATTAAAAACTGTTGATTTATCACTGTAACCTTTATTATGCTATCATATAATTGACATCGACGTCTCGGAATAAAAATAACATCTTAAGTTCTTCTGTTTTGATTCGGTGTTTCGGTGTACATTCGAATAAGAACAAAATTTGTTGTTGAATATTACTTTATTAACTATTAATGTGTATATTAAAATCAGTATGAGCGGGTCGTTTGTTTAATTTTAGAGTATTCAACTGATTTCAAATTCTTATCTTCAGAGCCATTCAATATGTTTTTATTTAGAAATACACACGGACATTAGAACAGGAACGGTATGAATCATAAACACTTACACAAATACGTCACTGGCCCGAATCTCATATTATTAACATTAAAATATTGTTTGGACGGTTTTTGACAGTTTTATATTTACTTTCGATCCAGTGACCTCATTTTGTTTAAATGTTTATGATTCATTCTGTAAATTGCTTAAATTTCTCAGACGCAGTTAGAGAAAAACACATACCCTCCATCGACTAACAGATATTGGATTTCTATCGAATCAATCGTCCATCAGGTGGACACAGGTACAAAACATACAAATGGTGTCTGTAAACATCAAGGTCTCCATCGAGCTCCGGTCAAACGAGCCAGTTCAAATAAAAAACCCCAGTCAATTGACGATGGACTTCGCCTACGTCGAAGGTCCATATGTGTTTACGCGTTCAAACAGCCGTGGCACCTGACGGATTAGGAGACCCCATGGAGACCCATGGGGTCTCCTAATCCCACAGATGCCACGGCTGTTTGAACGCACTGTGATTTTCGCCTTACACCACCACAGAAATCGGAAATCACATGCCGTGATTTGTTCTTGGTCGGAACGTAGATTTTCCTTCCCACTGTTTTCGGTCACTATGATGACTAATCGTTGGGAAATCGCTTAGAATAGTAGTGGATATAGGAAGGAAGGTGTAAATGGGTAAATTAGTGTGGTGTTTCTTTTTATTTTTAGTTAGTCCAACGCAGTATTGGTTGGATAAAAGTTCAATATTTTCTTTAACTACTGGTGAACTACAACTACATACGTTCTGTAAATGGGGGTTCAAAATCCGAAAGCCACTGACTTTCAGCTATACCTACTTTCTAAATGTGGCAATAAAGGATGAAAGACATTGTTTGACAGCTATGTGGTCTATACCTGAGAGTTCGGTATCTGAAAGACCACTGGTTTTCAGCTATAAGTTCTATATCTGCAAATAAAGGTTCGAAAGACACTGTTTACCATTATTTATACGTCCTGTATCTGGGTGTTCAAAATCTGAAAGCCACAGATTTTCAGCTATACGTTTTATATCGGGGAATAAAGGCCTGAAATAGGCTACTCTGTTTGACAGCTATACTGCTGGGAGTTCAGTATCTGAAAGCCACTGATTTTAAGATATACGTTCTATATCTGGGAACAAAGATCCGAAAGACACTCTTTGAAAGTTATACGTTATATACAGTACTTAGTGGTTCAATATATAAAATCCACTGATTTTAGCTATACGTTCTATATTTTGGAATAAAGGTCCGAAAGACACTGCTTGTCAGCAATAGTCCTGGGTACCTGGGAGATGCGGAGATCAATATCTGAAAGCCACTGATTTTCATATATACGTTCTATATCTGGGAATAAAGGTCCGAAAGACACCCTTTGACAGTTATACGTTATAGTGGTTCAATATGTGAAAGCCACTGATTTTGGCTACGTTCTATAACTGGTAATGTGGAATAACTCTATTTAAAGACACTATTTGACAGCTATACTTTCTATATCTGGGGACAATGGTCCGAACACTGGCTAAGCAGATATCGAATTCTTACCCAACCAATCGTGCAATAAGCAGATTTGAGACACACCACACATAACTACCCATATAACATATAACCATTTTTAACCAGATCATAAATAGGTATATATATATATACAGGGTGATCAACTCAAGGAGGCCACCATTGGGATATCAGAAACGGTAAGAATTAGAGAAAACTTTAAATGGGGGACATTCCTTCATTTTTTGTGGCAGTTAAAAATATGATTTTATTATTTCGAAATTCAGCCGCCATTTTCAAAAATGGCGGCCAACTTTGAAATTTCTTACAGAACACCCTATATTTTATCATGTTTTCGGATAGAACAGGCAATTTAAAAACCTTTTTATTCTTGACATTTTTTCAAT